TAAAATAAATACTACCTGTAGTATAACACAAAATAAATTAAAAATATTTATTTACTTTAATTTATTTAACATTTACAATGTTCTCGAATCTCGGATATATTATTCTGTAAACRTGATTTGGGAAATTCAAATCTCAATCTTTTCAATGGGGGCTGAGCCCTGACTCCATCTTTTCAATGGGGGCTGCGGCCCCCGAGCCCCCATGTAGTCGGCGCCTATGGCTCAGGTGCATTAATCGTGCTGTATCGACGAGCGATCGTCAAAACTGGCTTGCGCGGTCGCCGTCCACAGTCGACCGTCGACCGTCCTGTTTTTTTTATCTCGGCAGCCATGTCGTACAGCTGGTCTGGTAATTCTGCCGCGTTGGGAATAAAGCGATGATAGAAGTTCAGTAAATCTGCAGTAAAAAGTGTTGAATGTTTAGATGACATTTGTATTTTGAATCTGAAAACAAAATATTATAAGCTTACAAAATTACAAATCATAAAATGCGACGAAAGACGCATATTTTTTCCATTTTTATTTATAATATAAACATTATTTGTTCAATGCCTTTATCGGATCTATAGATGGAAGAGTTATTTTTTTCCCATTTTAATMTTCCTTAGTCTGTGCACCGATTACTGTATATTATGTGTTAAAAATATAATTCGGGACATCGATAATGTATAAATGGATATTATGCCACCCGATAAATAGACGATTCGTAAATCCCCTTATTTGTCTCTTTGTAACAACCGACACACTTCATTTAAATGTATTATTATTATAATATCTCACACACAATGAAATTCCTGGGCACGCCACTGTACTTAAGTATCTAGCTATATAATTTGATTCATTTTATAATAATTAAAAACATATTAATATTTTTTTTTCTTGTAAACTGTAACACATTTTTACTTCATATTAACAAATTATTAGTATTTTCTAATATAAGTAAAGTACCCTTAAGGCCTTTATATATGTAGATTTTCAGTCGTCATTATTGTGGACTGATTCGCTGCAATCCATTAATTAATATATTAATATATATAGACAAATAGTATTATTTTTTATTATAAATTTATAGGCGATATTGTAATAATTACCTACCACTAATAATAGCAATTGTACAATGAGTAAATCTCTCGCAATCTATACGCTCTGGCTCTATACATTATACAAATACAGAAATACGTACTTATAAATTATAATTCAAAGTAGGTGAAATATCAATTAAAGATTATTAATATAGACACAATATAATACATAATATGCAAGAATGCAACTAAAATAATGGATACATTTTAATTGATATAATAGTCGAATATGTTATTTAAGCTGGCATTCTTTTTCCCAATTCTTTGGTACATAATTTTCGGTTGATATTATGAAATCTTCCAATGTTGGTAAAAAACTAGTTTGGCCTTCCATTTCTAGAGATAGAATATCTGGAGTGTCGTAGCTTTTTGTGTACATTATCTAGAATAAAAATATTTTTTTATCAGGAAGTACTTACTCATTTTTTTTTWAAATTATCCATATTCATAAATATTTGTAATTACTTTTACATAGAATTCTTCTTTGATTTTGTGTAATTCGACAAAAGCTGCAGCTCCGTAACTAGGTTTAAAAAGATTTTTCATTCCCAATGTATGTAAAAAATCAATTAACGTCTGCTCATGACTAAAGTAAGCAAACATTTTTCTGTCAGGGTTTAATCTTCCATCCATTTTGTCCCTCATTACTCTAACTATTTCTCCAATGAGTTTCCCAGATCTTAATTTTTTCATGAAATCYGTTTTCGAATAAGTTATTAACCATTCTAAAACAATATTTTCCATAAGACCCATGTAATTTCTAACTTTTACCCATGATGGCAAAGTCAGATGATTTCTTTGCTATAAATAAACGACAAAATTATTTTATRATTTATTTAAACATTATATAATTGATATAATTGGAATTGATATAAAACAATATACATCATTATAGCACCTAATTATATATGTATAAGTATAGGTGGTAGGTAGTTACTATTATTATAAAAAAAAAATCACCTGAATAGTTAATGAATTGAATATATTTTCAACGTCTGAAAGATGTTTTATTTCTAAGCCCGTATGACTAGATACATAGTTGAAGAAATTTTTATACTTGATTAACATATGTTTTTCAGTTTCATTTTTTGCTTTTTCAAATTCTACGTCATATGCAGGACAAGGCATTGTTACTCTAAGCATCTAAATATTAAAAATATTATGTGGTTATTTGATTTCTATARTATAAAATTTTAAAAAACAGGAAGGTTATGCATTACAGATAATAGGGTTTGATTTATCCTCGTTTAAAAAAATAAATATTTTTGCAATTTGTAGGTTTTTTAGGTACCTACATCTAATAGGTACTAGGTACAGTATAAATGTGTTGTTTTTCAATTTGTTAAAAGCTATTCTCTAATAAAAGTTACAATATATTATAACTTATAACTTATAATTTATAATATTATACTACATATACTATATATATACATATATACATATATCGYATTTGATATATATTATCAAAGTTATAATATTTGTTTTCTTAAATTTTGAAAAGTTAAAAGTTGTTTAAAACAAATTTAAAAACAGAATACTTTCGTATAAATATAATATCTTAAAATGATTGAMCTTTGACTAACCTTTGGACTTATGTATGTTTTATACCATATATTTAGTTTTAATTTTCAATATTTTACAAAAAATCAAAAATATTTAAGTTAACTACAGTTATCATGAACATGATACTTTAAAAAATAATATTTTTGAACGAAATTTACCATAAGAAAAATAAAACGAAAAAGTATCTATGTGACTACTATATTGTAAAGAAATCTGAAATAGGTACCTTTTGAGAATCAAAAAAATATTTTATAGGTGAATTAATACTGTTAGTATAATAGTATATAATATGCAGATGAGAAGATGGTATATAATATTAGTACCTACTACYTAGGTAGGTACTTTACAATTAATATTGGCGTTATTATAATAAGTATTATATACTATATAGTAGGTTTCTGTTATATCATCATAAGATTAATAACTTTCTAGGTCCATGCAGCTTAAGATACGAAACACAAATTTACGTTGTCTTGAWTTGGAGATATCGAATGGATTGGTATAGGTATCCATGGTAAATCATTGTTCCAAATTTGTTTACCACCGGGAGGAAAAGCTCCTGCTAAAAATGCTGACGCCGTCATTTGTGTACGATCAGTTTCTGTACTCTTTACCAAAACAAAGCTACTATTGTAGGTGGCTGGGAGAAATTTCGTGTACCGCTTTCGAAATCGTCTTCCAAATTCATATGACTTTAATTTTCCAGCCTTTTAAAAATTAAAATTAATTACACATTATAGATAGGTACCTATAAATATACATCTATACAATATTATATCACATGTTCTTAATCTACACGTATGAGCAAATAGCCAAAAAAAATTGGGAAGACTAAAGCGTGCCATTACTTGACAAAAAAAGTATCTATTTTAATTTTCTAATTTGTTGAAAAAAAGTTATAAATAAAGTATGAGTTGATAGGGATATATTTGAGAGTGATGTAGCTTCATAGGGCAAGCACGGTGGGGCAGTACCCCGAGGCTTTACAACATTACGTKTTTATTTTGAATGTTTACAAAAAAGTATAAATATTAGTTAGGGGGGGAGGGTTGGTTTATTTACTGCCCTAGAGTCCTTTCCTATCTACTATCTAGCCACGGTCAATGGCCGGTGAACAATCATAATATAAAATGTAGAACACATTTTATTATGATAGGTAACATTATTTTTTGTTATTTTATAAATCATGATTATTATTCTGTATTACTTATAACAAATTTTTTTTTGTTATTGGACATTTTAGCTTCGGCAACATAGGCAATAGCTTTTGACAATCTTATAGTTACATTTTTATTTATAAGTTTTTACATATTAATCACTTAAATTTATTTATTACTAGATGCTGTTTTCTACTTTTAATGACTTGAGAAATGCTTTATTACAATTATACATTGTTATAGACTTGTAGTTATTTGAAATTAAAAGATAAGAAGTGTTGTGGGTATAGTACATGATGTATACTGTATAGAACGGTCAGCGGACCAACGGAGACACGCACACATATTAAATTAAATAATCATTTAATTTACTAGTTACTACGCAAGWAACACACACACACATGCACTTCAAATATTACCTGTACCTCTCCTTAAAAACTGTCTTTACCCTTAAATGTATGTATACCTATTATAATTCTAGTATATATTTTTATTTTTGGACATCCCAATCGATTCTTATAGTTTAGTTAACTTTGTCAGATGAGTTAGTACCTAAATAAACATCTGAAACTATAGATAGTTGACTATAATTCTGTATAGACTTAGCTACTTAGTTATTGGAGTGTTATGTAAGCGTAAATGTGTGTTAGTATTATCATTTTATTATCTACTTTGTGGTATWATACTATTATGTGATTATTGAAATTCGATATCGACATTTTTACAGTTTTTCTTCGTCTATATTGATGAAGTTCAATTTTAAGTATTGGTAATGCAGACTTGCAGTCAGACTGTCAGAATCAAAATACACTCTAGATACYGTTGAATACATCTAAAATAAATGGCTTATTGCAGGAAACAATAGTCCAAAAATAGTTTATTTACCCGCAAGKGGAGAGAAAGTTTTTAATTCGTCAGTATAGCCGTGTATAGGTGCATATTCAAATAATATGGGGTCTGCAAATCAGTAAAACATTTGTCTGTAGTCTAGAAGACTAGAAATTAGGTATTTGGATTAGAGAAATTAGGGTAAACGAAGATTTGTCTCTAAAAGTCTTTCCCCTATTTCTGTGTATCTATTATATCTAATCATATTGATTAATATGAATTTAGTACCTATTTAATATTGACTAACAAAAATATTTTTCTTACATTGGTCAACTGCCCAAGGCCGTCTGGCCATGTCCCTTCGCTTGTAGGTGCATACATGTCATTAGGATAAGTTTCCCATCTCAATGGACTTCGGTCTCCTTGTCTAAAAATCTACAAGGACATTTTGATTGTGTATTAAATAATTATTTATTTCAGTCATTGATTTAGGTCTTACTTACGGCTATAATGAGCTGTAAAGAATTTTTTTTCCGCGATTCCTCTCCTAATATTAAATAATACACCACGAATACAGTGATAATTACTCCTGATAATAATATAGCCGCGTAAGCTCCTCTCTTTTCATTTCTCAATTCGGATGCCTTTTTTGGAGAAATGAGATTTTGATTGTTATCATTTTGAGACATAGTGACTAYTGACTAATAGCAATTATAACTATAGCTGACAGCTGACTTAACGCGTATCTATATWTGGTTATTTTAATTATAATTTTATAAACCAACATTTACGTTTTAAAATATTGAAAACTGTTTAATTAATAACTTACAAKTTTCGCAATTATCTAAATCAATTGAACATTTTAGTTGACATTTTGATACAGCCATACACCCATACCTGATAATTATCACATAAAAAGTATAGCACGATTGTACTGATTTTTAAAAATAACTAAAATACTAATGATATAAAAAATACAAAAAATAATTGAATAACAGTCGTAAAGCAAACATATTTTATTTCAAATGGAAATTCTTAGGCTTGTATACAGACAACAATAGTTAGTTTGTTCGACGCCATCGGTAAGACCATAGTACAAAACGTAATAAACATGCACCTATTATGTGGTTATTTTATAATCCTGAAGTATATATACAGATTAGATAAGCCAAATTGTTATATTGTTAGTCCTCTTTTCATTGGCAGTTTAAAAACGTGTGGAAATTAAAAACAATCTYAGTAATATAAACGTAGGTAGCTACGACCTATATAGTACAATATTTACTTACAATTTATTATGTACCACTTAACTTATGTAGCCGTCTATGCTGTTTGTCAGTTCCTTTTCAATATCAATATTCATTATTACCTTGGCCCTAGGTAATAATTATTGTATRAGTGTATTGACGTATATACGATGTACCTATATGGTGTATTTAGCATGGCTACTGGCAAGTCTGAATTAATAAGTCCTATATACCTATAAGGAATAATGATTATTGATTCATGATGGCAAGATAACTTGCAGGTATATGCTGGCAACTCGCGTAAACTTGGTGGATAGGATTTATCACTTAAATTATATTAAATTTGCATTGATGAATAATATGAACTATATTATGATGAGCAAAGAAAAGTCCATCATGTTTTCATAAGTTACCAGCGTACTGCACATAGGTACCTTTTTACTTTTCACGACCTCTTAGTCACACACACTTTAAGTAATTGGGCAATTAAAGTTTTTTAACCATGTTTGACCGTAACATATAAACATTATTCATCCTATTTTAAAATAGTATACAATATATTTTATTTTTTTGGTTAGGATTTACGTTTGGTAATTCAACGAACGCTCAATTTTTAGGCTAAAATATGGTTGACGATCTGACCATCAGCAGTTGATTTTGGAAGACCACTTACGTTTTGAAAGTATATACATTATACATACATCTAAATAACGGTGAAAAATACGTTTGTAGTATTTGTAAATTATGTTCCAGTAAAATTATTTTTGAATACATATTTAACTTGCTGTAATTATCAGTCGTTTCTAACTTAACAGGCGTACTTTATTATAGTTTGTATTATTATGTTGTTGGGTGTTAAATTTAAATTGTCAGGAAAACTTTAATTAAMAAAAAAAAAAAAWAAAAATGCAAACGCAATTAAAAGTTTTGATTTTATAATAAAAAGCAAGTTTCTGTGAATAAAATAWAATWTATTAATCATAAGCATCGAAGAACTCAATACAGTATTAAAGATAATTTTCATTAATATTAAAATTGATGTCAAAAGGCACATGGATGTTTTCGCTTTCTGCCAGCTATGGGGTTCTCTCTTCCTCTTTGTTCGTCAGGATCTCCACCACCATTTTGAACAGAAAATCCTAAACGACTCTTTAGCTTCCATCAATAATGATGCCCCGGTCTTCCTGATTCGCTGGTAAGTCCCCAAAAACCAGCCCTCGCGGTGCACACGAATTGGGCCGGATATCAACAAACGTTGGCTGATATGACTCGAGCGAAGGTTGTTTAGGTGCATTTTGAACCAGTTCCAGTAAGGGAAATTTAATTGCGAGTGTTCTGCCGTATTGTCTGCACAGGGACAGTGCGTGGCACATGCTCAGTGAGCGCTCGCGTCATTCAGTAAAAGTTTCAGTATGATATAAAKGGTTTAGGAGGGACCTCCCCACCAATCCAACGACRTCGGGAATAAGCTGGCGAGTTGTCTAGGGGTTGACCTTCCGTCTCATTTTMCATTGCACTACGATTCCTTACGTAGGTAGGTGCCTCATCCTTAATTATGGCTCTGAAAAGAAGCGGGGAAACGGTCATGGGCTAAATATCAATTGGTAGGTCTAAGCAAAGAGTATAGAGTATAGTATATTATAATATTATAGTTTATATATTTTTTTTAAAGTCCGTGGCACTAGGCATGATTAAATAAACATTGGGACTAGGATAACAATAATCACAATACATGCTATTCATATTATGACAAGAAAAATAATTTCTGTTCATGACGTTCATGCGTTCATGTCGTTTATAATCTACTCTATGCCGTGATTACAGCTATAGATAGTATTATCTACATTGTACGGTGCCTTGTGATAAGAAGATAATATTCCGCTTACTCGGCGGCGAGTTAGTCTGTTCCGTTGAAATGTTGAATATTATGTCGATGTTCTATGAAACTTTTAAGCTACTAATAGTTTTTTAACTAGACAGCGTTACTTCAACAATTAATTAATAACTATTATAATAATGTCAATTTTCAACATTTACAACTCGTTTCTAGTTTTCATAAATTCGCATCATCTCAGTTTCTTAAAAATAAATAACGTAAATGAAAAACCTGTTGACAATATTCATATACATCATTCTCAAGCAGATGTACCATGTCGTTCATGCACTGATTTCCGAACGTTTAGTCGTATGAGACGTCAAGAATTTAGTCAAAGTCAGGTAATACATGTTTGATTGTACAAAATGATTGATTACAATTCTTGAAATAATTTAGATTAGTAAACCAAGTGTTTTATCTGAAAAAAACTGATTCCTGACTGATCAGGGATTTGAAAACAGAACATGCAGCCCACATCAGCTTAAATTTATGAAGGTTTTTGGATAAGAAAACTATTATAAGATATTTTGGACTAAAACAAACACCATCGGTCATTAAATTTAATTATGTGTAAACAATTGAAAAGGATTTAAATTGATAGCATTTGGCATTTAACTATATTCTATGATTTTTATGAAAAATGAGTAATTTAATAAATTACTCGCATGTTATTGAGAAAGTTGGTAACATGATTTATGTAGCTGCTTTATAGACTACCTATGTAGTAATAATTGTAGTCTTATATGAAGAGTCATATTTAATGTTTTTAAAAATAGGTTCAATCACTGAATAGCCAATCTAAAGATAAAAAAGATGAAACTAAAGTTCTGGAACATCAAAGAGATGACTGTCCGTTAGACAAAGATGAATTAGGTTTGTTATTCAATTTATCTAGTTATTTTTACCATAAACAATATTATTTTAAATTGTTTATCTTAGGTCGGAGTACATGGAAACTACTTCATACCATAGCTGCCACATATTCAGATAAACCGTCACAAGAAGACCAGTCCAATATGGAACAATTCATTAGATTAATACCAAAAGTCTATCCTTGTGAAGTTTGTGCTAACGATTTTTCTGAAATGTTAGTATTAATTAATTAATTTTGTTATGTTAATTGTTTTTTTTTCACTTAAATTAGTAGATAGACTATAAAAAGTATTATATTTTTCAGATTAACGTATCATCCACCAAACATAAGCTCTCAAAAGTCATTTGCAAAATGGATGTGTGAAGTACATAATATGGTAAATCGGAAATTAGAAAAGCCTTTGTTTGATTGTTCTAATGTAAATGAACGATGGCGTGATGGTTGGGCTGATGGACATTGTGATTGATATTTTAGTAAACCAAATTAGAGGAATAATATAGAACAACTTYATTAAAATATTTTTAAATAAATATTCTGAATTATTCAAATTATTATTCATTATGAAGTAGTAAATAATCTATAAATATATATATTTTTTTTTACTGAAGTATAGTGTTTGTTACATTCTATTTACACAAAACATGTTATATTTAAAATGATTGCATTTTAATTAATTAGGGGTTACTACTGGGCATAACTTAGCCTACATATTGTTATTTGTAAAAATTAAAAAATATGTAATTACCTAATAATTGTTATCAACTGCTCAAATGCTTCCAAAAAGATTATATACCAATACCACCATTACAGGAATATATTGTATTCTTAATAGTTTTTTAGTCATATTTTGAATTCTAGTTCTGACCTATTGAGTTTTAAGGGTTAAAAAAWTTTTTTTTTTATTATTCTTTTATTAAATATTCAATCTGTTTTACAATAAAAAAACAATAAGAAATAGGGATAACAAAGAGGGTATACAAAACATGATTAACATGAAGAGGAGACAGTTCATTAACAGAACCTCAGAAATTTTTTTAATTTTTTTCCCCCTTATTTAGGAGATCTCTAGCCCAGTTTATTTTTAATAGACGGCGAGTTGGTAATGTAAAAGAGGACATATTTTGAATGACGGAGTTTGTATGATTTTTTAATTTTGAGTGGAAACTATTGTAGTGACTTTTTGAAAGCTCATTTACTGTTGGTATTTTTAAGTCGTTGTGGAGGGCTGCAATTTTGAAGTACCAAGAGGCACCGGTGATAAGTCTAAGAGTGATTGACTGGAAGGCTTGTATAGGACAAATRTTTGCRGGTTTAGCTGGGCCCCAAATTTGAATGCCATAAGACCATACTGGTCTGATGATTACTTTGTATAAGAGTAGTTTGTTTTTGAGACTCATGTTTGATTTTAGTAGAGGTCTAAGTAGGTGGAGGTGGAAGTTTAATTCTTTTCGTTTTTGTTTGGTGTGGTTTGACCAGGTTAGTCTTTTATCTAGAGTTATACCAAGGTATTTAGTTGACTGGTGAAGCGGAATTGGTTTGTTATTAAACTTTAGGGGGGGGAGGCATTCCCATTTGTTTAGTGAAAAATTCACCTGTGCGGATTTGTCATCATTAATTTTAATTCTCCAGTCTTTGGACCAAGATTCTATTTTACTCAAATGTAGTTGTAAATTTTGAGACACGATATCAGGAAACTTTTTTGACGAAAGTATTGCTGTGTCGTCGGCAAATCAGGCAAGTAGAGTTTGGTTTGATGTTGGTRTATCAGCAGTAAATATGTTATAGAGAGTAGGCGAAAGAATTACACAGAAAAACTTATACGGTTAGTTATTATTTTTTTATATATTTTTTTTTTTCATTTTAAATGTGAAATTTCAAATATTAAYATACTGTGTAAGAATAATAAAAACTTTTAAAAATGTATTCATTCTAACAAAAACAAAGTAACGTTAAGAGAAATAAGGGAACCAAAATGTGTAGGTACCTAATATATCAGTATTATAATATTATGTGTTAAAGTTAAACATTATTCTTATTGTTTAAATTAGCGGTTCTTTAACTGTAGTTTGTGGCGCTAKCAATATTGAAATAATGATTTTGATAACTAAAAATTTAAAACAAGTTATTCGAGAGAAAATTGTTAAAAATTAATGGTACTAATTGATTGTCATTGCTCCATCAAGCGAGATTACATCAGCAGCTATTAATGTACAATTTTTATATTTGTCTATATAGATTAGTCTAGTATAATATTGTGATCTCTATATTGGAAAAGAGTTAATATTTAGTGTAATATTTGAAATTCTATTCTATTCTATTCTATTATAATTATGTAAATATGTTGTCAGCTTGTTGCTAAATTGTAATATGAATAATTTCAAGTGCATAGTTAGTGCAAACTACCTGTTACTAGCATTCAATTTTTACGAAAAAGAAAAAACCATATCCAAAAGGAATAAAATGTATGACATTTTAGGTTCTCTTTTTTACATATAATTATAAAATAATAATTTTTAATTATAGTCCTTTCTGAAATTGTACAAAATACATTATTAGTACAGCAGGCAGTTAGTGAGGGTATGATTTTTTACGAGGTAGGATACCAACAATTAGGTATCAATTAATATTCATACATTATGTATCAATATTAAAATTAAATATTTAAAAATAAATTTATATTTTAATTAAATTTAATAAAAGATRCCAATAAAATTACTATAAAAATTSTTTTTATTGCAAATAAGAGATAAGCGAAAAAATGTATACAATTGATATATCTTATAGTAATGTCATGAATATATAAAAACTTGAAGTAGAAATTAATATATACCTATAAAAATAATAACACAATTTATTTTGCACTTTATAAATTGTATTAATCAAGCAAAACTTTTATAGGTACTTTTTTATTCTGTATAACACTACTAACATGAATTAAATTCAAATAAATATACATAATTATCAGATTAAGAGAAAAACTAAATTTTTGATATTAAAACAATACAATACACATAAAATATTTAAATTATTATTGATAATAATAATTAAATTTTTAAATTAATTGTTTGTTAAAATATGATCCTACAAGCTATACAATAATCAAAGTAAATCATTCTAATAAAATAAACAATAAAATAGACAAAGGCATAAAATCAATCTTAACAAGACTTATAACTGTATGAAAAGTGTTAAAATGTAACCACTCCAAGTGTTTATTAATTTAAATTACTAATAAATAAATCACAATGAAAATGTTTAATGTCTAGTTTACATGTGTTCATTTAGAAAAATTATTGGTAATAAAATTTCATTTAAATATTATCAAATCAAATTACAAGTGTAAATTGTAATATATATATATATTATAATAATTATACAAGTCAGTAACTTGTTTAAAATATATAATAACTAATTTACAATAAATTTAACTGCGCCCAGCATATTGAATTGTGTCTAAATGTATAAGTATATTATATATATATATATATATAACATATTTCATGACATTCCCTTTTTTTGAAGGTCTTTTTTGAGAGCTGATTTCTTTTTTTTGTGAAGAGATAGTGCTGTTTTTGTGAGTTTGTCACATTTTTCATTAAAAATGCGCAATATCACACTCTTTTGAATTTCTAAGAAATCGTCTACTATAAAATCTGATTCCTTCTTACCTATTTCAATGAATCTACATGGCGGGTTTAATGATAAGGCTCGTTTCTTGTGTTCTTCCCAAGGTTTGTCGGTCGGCTCCCAACCATCCAATTCGATGAAACAAGAAAAACATCTTACTGTATCAGGTATATCTGGATTTGGGCAATAGAAACCGGCTTCGGCCATTTCCTTGGCACTAGGTTTAGCCATGGTCCAATTTTGTAGCGATTTTAATCTTTTCATCTGCCAGATGTGATTAAGTGGTTCTGCTTCAAGAGATTTAATTTGATTATCGATCTGTTTCGTTAAAATATTGTCTATATTCTCCATGATGAGTTAAAATCTAAAAAAAAAAATATGTTTAACACAGCTATACTAGCTTATACAAATTAAAAAAATTAGTAGTATTTATGGACCAAAGTTCAAATACCTCAATGCAACAGCCAGTGAAACGCRAAACAAAATTGAAAATATCTAAAAATTAATAATTATTATTACCTATTTAAATTTCAAGTCTACTCACTTATGATAAAATTATAACCGACTTCCGAGTTTCTGACACCAAACATTCGTGTATCGTGTTTAAACAGTGTAGCCGTTATTAAAACTAAAAAYATATTTTACTAGTTTGATAATTGATTTCTATACGAATCGATAATATACTTATTATTACTATAATTATTATGAATCAGTTATACCCATCCATTTCATATTCTCTTTTAAAGTTTTAAATGTATGCATTCTAGATTTAAATTAATTATTGCTTATAACTATTAATTAAATTTTATTATCTATTTGTTATCACTACAAAAATATGACCGCGGGTAAAAACACTAAAAATTTACTGGTCTTTATGCACATTTGGTTGCCTATTTAAAACGCTTTGTGAGTAAGTTGTGACCATGACTAGCTAATTAAACTTATAAAAAATTATACCTATCAGAAAAAAAAACACGTTTATTTATAATAGTATTGGAAATTAAATGTATACAAATCAATTTAAAAAATTATTAATTGCAGATGATATTTCAAATAGAATTCTATATARTAGTTTTTTATATTTATTTAATAGTTTATATACACATTCTTTAACATAAAAATTTGCATGATTCATATTCTAAGAAATGATTCTAAATCAAGAATTGATAACCTTTTCATTTAAGCTGCTCTTATTTCGATGAGGGTCAAAGTGGTCACACACAAAATTAAAAGAAACTTGATTAAAAACACAATTTTAACATATTATAATATTAATATATTTATGGATAGTAACAATCATATTATGAGTTTTATTAGTCATCCTTATTAACTAGTTTTAGATAATATAAATTTGAATACCTGTAGAAAAGTTATACAGTCCACAGGGTGCCAGTGCTTACTCTAAATTTGAAAACACCTGTACCAATAATACATTTTAWATTTTTAAGACAATATTAATATTAAGTAAAAATATAATCTACATTTTACTCTAAATGTACCTATAATAAATAGAATAACTTAATTTTACTAGTATAGAAAAATAAAATTTAATTGACAATAATTTAAAAAAATAAATATTTTCTATAACATTTAAAAGTTATATTAAGGGGTACATAAATCTATAAGCTACTATAGTAATTGTATATATACATTGAAATAAATTAGTTTGTGAAGGAAAAATACATGCATATATTATATAAATAAATTTAATATTTTACTCAGTATTCAAAAAATAATTTACAGTACAATTAAACGTTTATGTTTATGCTAAAGGATTTCCAGGACTTTTATTTAAGAGCTGAAACAAAATATTAATATGTTTTGTATTAATAGAATAACAATAACTATATACTCCACTTACGATTTCAATATGCTTTCTTAATTCAGTTGGAGTCACTTGGTGCAATAAACGTTCTTGTTCAAAAAATGAAAAATCATCTTCTAATTTTGAAGATGAATTACTATTATTATTGGGTCTTTTTCTTTGATATTTAATATCACTGTTTATTTTCTGAAATTTTATAAGAATTCAAATAATTTATTTTTTACCAGTATTGTAAATTGTAATAATAAAAAATGCATTGATAAGAAATGTATTCAAGCAAATAAAATCATGTATTTGCTTACTGAATTTGATTGACTATCTATGTTCACATTTTTTACAACTCCCATAACACTTTTAACTAACTGTCTCTTTTCTTGAACTTCAGCTTCTAAACGTTTTTCTAATGCAGAAATACATTCCAATTTATCTTTTATAAGTTCTTCGAAATGTTCTAATTCTTCTTTGTGTTTAGAATTGATTTGTGCCTTTTCTTTTTCATACCTAAGTACGAAATAATTTTATGATTTTTTTTTAATTAAAAATAATTAAGAAGTGTATCTAACTTTTCTTTAAAATTAACTATTTGGTTTTTCATTTGAAGTTTTAAAAATTTATTTTCTTCATTTGTAATTTTAACAATACCATCTAATTTACGCTGATAATCCGATATTTTTTCTGCCAGCATAGCATCTAGTTGTTTTTGGTAAAAGCTTTTTAGATCATTTTTTACAGTTTTAATTTCATCTTTTGCTGCATTAAGTTCCTCTGCAGTTTGTGCCTAGATAACAGTACTTAMAATAATTGCGATTATAATGTTAAAATTTATTTTTAATATGAAATATTATTGGCATAGTTTAAATACCTCGGTACTTTTCATTTGATCTACTATTTCTTCAATTCTTCGTTTCTGATCTAAAAGTTGATCATATTTTAAAGTTTTTTCAAACAGTACTTTTTTTTCTTGATTTAATGCTAAAACATCTTTTTCTAACTCACAACACTTATTTATTGATTTATTACACTTTTCAGCTATCTAAAACATTTAATATTATATTGATTTTATATTTAAAATTATTTTTAAAATACTACAGTAGGAATTGTTTAGAGTGCCATCAGGTTAACACATCATACTTATATTTTAAGTCATAGCTTTATTTATTTGCATAATTTTGTAYAATTTATCAGTTAGGAAACTATGTKGTCCCTTTGATAACGCATTAAGCAATTTCTACTGTATCTTCAAACTCACGCTTTTATTTTTTTCTTGTAATTTAACCAATTCATTTTTAAGTCTTTCATTTTCTTTATTTTTATTTTCAATACTTAGTTGTAATTTTTTTGCTTGTTCTTCTACTTTTTGACAGTTAATCAATAATTCATTCAACTTTTTTTCAGCATTTTCTTTTAAAACCTTGTAAGAATTACTTCGAGAAATAGCTTTAGCTGTATCACTTTTATAATGTTCAATTTTTTCTTTCATTGCTTCCAAAATGTCTTTTTTATTCTTACGCTCAGATAGTAAATCCCTGTTGATTTTTTCATTAATTGTACTAAATGCTCTTACTTGACTTAAAATCATAGCAGATCGGGCGGCCAGATCATCAAGAAGATTATTTTTTTGGCAATCTACTTCTTTAAATTTATCTATTTTTTTTTCATAATTTGTTAACTTTTTTTCTAAATCTATAATTTTCTTTTCTATATTCTGTAAAATCCAACAATAAAAAAAAAAATTAAAAAAAAATTAGCTAAATTATATATTATAATATTGTTAAATTTTTTTTTTGTATTCTAAAATTTAAGAATTAAGTATCAAAAAAAAAAATATTTACCTACTTGTCTACGATAAATTTCTTTTCCAAGCTTTAACCACAAATTTTCTTTTGAAACTGAGTCCAATTTCTGGTAATCATTTAAATCTGTGGTTACACGAGGGGTTACATTCTCCAATTCGTCACATAAACTTAAACAAAGAAAAATTGGATGGGGAAAAAAAACAAATAAAAAAAGTACCTCTGCAAATTGCTGTCTTCTAATTCATCGCTAATAGTTTTTTTGTTTAGAATAGTAAATCTAGTATTTTTTTCTTGAAAACTGACATTACACTGTGTATGGCCATTATCTATGTTTCTTAATAACTTGTCATTGCATTCGTAGGTATTCACCATTTCATGCAAAAGAGAATCGATGGAATTATAGTTAATTTTTGTTTCGGCATTTTGTTTTAGAGGTGAGGAAGCACTAAGAGGGCTGGACAGACCATTGCTGATATAACTATTTTCCATTATTTCAATAAGGGCAGTGGGCACTGGGCACTGGCTAGTGACTATTAAGTTGTATTAAGTATTTACTCGTCMGACGTTAAATGTAAAACGGTTCACGACTTCACGTTCAGCCGGTTGCCATTATCTTTTCTATGATTCAGCCCCCTTATTGGTCGTATTGTCGACTAAATCAGTAAATAAACAGATTTTAACAGAAATGATTACAATAATATCTGAGTCAGATATTATCTGTTCTATGATATTAGTAAAGATATGGGTAACTTACTGAGTAATATTACTCTATGCTATATATTTATTATTTATATATATTCATATCTATGGATTATTGTCATTGATAGTACTATCTTAGTCTGAGTTATTGCTTATATAGTTGTTCATCCACAATAATTGACTAGAATTTAAKGAATTTATTAAAGTATTAATTTTAATTTAATATATTGTATGTTATGTACTAAATAATAAATATGTAGTATTTGTCATTAATCATTGTTTTTACTCTAAATTGTAAGACATAATGTTACCTACCTAAATATCTAAATCTTATGTAGTAAGATTATAATTTATATTTGTTATTGTTTTAGTTACTTTTTAAATTTATTGGTTCTTAAAAACATTTTAAAAACAAACATATAATGAGCAAATCTTTAGATATTTGTAAAGCATCTGTAAGTAAAAAATATTATTTTATTTTTAGGATAATATATTATTTATTAATTTTGAGTTGATTTTATAATTATTTGTGCCGTAACTTAATTTCAAAACAATGATTATAATATTTTTATAGTTATGTGGAAAAGTATTATATTATGATTATTATAAAATCAAAACTAATTGAAAATACTCAAATAGGCAACTTGAATTAATAATAATTTAACTAGCAAAACAATCAACATTTTAAGGAGCAAGACATATTCACTCATGTAGTATAATAAAATTATTTTTAATTGCAAACAAGCTATTTATTTTAAATATCCCTATCCAAAATAAATATTTAAAAATATGATATATTGTAAGGCTATTTACTAATATAAAAATACTTACTCATGAAATAATTGATAATATTTTTCTTTCTTTTTCTTTTTGTGGCATCTACAATTCTGCTAGAATAGCTTGAGTAGGTACTGYATTAAAAATTATAATCAGTTGTTTATGCGATACAATATTGGTGTAGTCTAACTTTAAAAMTTATGAGATTAAAATAATATTTTTTGGGACAAAAAATTGTTAAATTTAATAGGTATAATTATATAATATGTTAATAATTATCAACCAATTTATATGAGTGTTTACAAATTTAAAATTTTTAAGAAATGTAAAGACAATAGTCGATAAACTGAGTTGCTTGTGGTTTTTTGAATACAAAGATGCACCTATTATTGTTTTCAACATGGTTAATAACTATTATGCAATATAATATACATTATAGTTTATAGCATACATTTTTTACCATCATGCTAACATATAGTGTATATTATACCCAGAGCTTTGAAAGAATTCTTTTTAATTTGTATTATATTTAACACAAAACATTTACCTACCAAACAAATATATGTTTTATATTTTAGCTAGTAAGTTTAAAAGCAGAACTTCTACGCAAACAAGATGAAGCAAACAAAGCAAAAAGTTTTTCTGGTGATACATTTATTCGACCAATACCTGGTGCTAAAACACCATCATGTCTTCTCCAATCTAACGAAGGTGTTGAAAAAAGAAACGCTAAAGATTTAGAAGAAGAATATACACCTGATGTTGAAAATAGTTTGAAAAAATCAAGGTAATTTATGAGTACTATTTACCTAGAGTATACTATGTGTACGATTATATAATACAGTGAAACTTCCATATAACAAATTTTCTTTTAACAAACTGTTCTATTTAACAAATGATTTTTGAGAACCATGGCTTTCATTGTTATTTATGCCTAAATTATATTTAACAAATTTCTCTAKATCATATTTATTTTTTGTTCTCCATGCCCCTTCATTATTTGAAAGTTTCACTGTATTACAATTAAAAATGATTAGCAATTAATAATAATATATTGTGTTGTTTTATTAGAGATGTCTTAACAATGAAAGCAAAACTGTATGACAAACTGGTTAATGGTGAAATGGTAAGTGAACAAGACAAAACATTTTTAGTTGATTTTAAACAAAAAGTTACTGAAAATAAAACTACTTACCCTATATCTTCCACAAAAGATAATGTTAAGGAGCAAGAAAAATCTGATTCGGATGCAGATTTAGATAAATATGATTCAGGAGCTGATGATGACTGGTAAATTTAATTAATGTATTTTTTATAGGGTGGTTATTCTTAAATTAAGTTGTTAAGTTGTTTTAATATTGTTATTATAGGCGTAATCTGAGGAGGGGGCAAGAGAGGGAAACTTCCCCTCCAGATATTTTATTGAGGGAGCAATAGTATCGTTTCCCCCCTTAAAAGTTATAACTTTTAATTATATTTCTATTTTATTATAGAAAAATTAAACAGCATAATGGATTGTATAATAATAAATAATAATAGATTTATCGTTTTGACTTTTTGAGTGCGTCAGTTTATTATTTATGATTTGAATGAATTTTATGAAGGTACATCCATTTGTGGTCATTGACTTTTGTTAAAATAAATTTGCATATTATATAAGTATAATTTTTAGTAATTTTGTTGAGTTTTATGTCTTTTTATCAGTTTTATAATGTAAAATAAAAAAATAAAATTACTTTTAAGAATTTTTTTATTTATTAATTTACTAACCTAACCCCCCTCACCACCCACAGGATTGACTCCAAGTTACGCCACTGATTGTAATATTTTAAAAGTTAGAATAATTCTTTATTTATATTATGTCAAATAATCACTCTATTTATATTATAGTTTTAAACTATACATTTTAAAATAATATATACAATTTTAATTTATCAGGATAGATTATACAGATTTCTTTGGGCGTACCAGGAGATGTTTGAAAACAGATCTAGAATTTTTTAAAAAAAGAGATCAAAGGATTGAAAAAGAGTTAGAACCACCACTACCATCACCTAATGAAATAAAACAACAAACACCTTTAACTGTACAAAAATTTGTAAAAGAAGGTAGGAACTCTGAAGAAATATCTGAACTTGTTTCATCAGATATGCGAAGAGAACAATTGCGTCTCAAATGGGAAGAAGAAGAAAGAAAATTAGCTGAACGAACTGATATTCATTATGAAGATATACGATTTGACGGTGAGTCAAAAAAACAATATTTTCTAAATTTAGAATAGTGTTTCTTAGTTTTGAATTAAATAATGAATAATGAATATTAAATAATGAAAAAAAAAAACAATGAACTAATAATTCCCTTCATTGTTTTTTCGAGAATTAGGATAAGCTATTAATGAGTACTTAAATTTTACCAAATTGTTAAGTTTGGTAAAAAATTCTGTATTGCAAAAAATTTGTTGTAATTCGCAGAAAGTATGCAATTAACGAACGAAAACAATTTTTTTTTAAATAATAATTAGAGATTTGTCACAAAACTGCTTAAAAACCAGTCTCAACAATTCGTTGATGTTAGAGACATTTTAGGTATACGGTAGAAACTAGGAATCGATTTTTTAGCTTTTTGCTTAATGCAATATCAAACTAACGGATTTTCCAAAACGTTATAATTATAATTAGAAATATGGCAAATATATGGGTTATAATAGTTTGTTTTACTTGATGGTTTTTGTCTTAGATTAAGTTGTATCAATGTATCAATAAGTTTTAGAACTGTGATCATTTTTAGTGTTGTTGTCTTTGATTGGACTAAGTCCTTATCTGCACATAAAATGTTCATAGAACATTTTTGAGTGACCTATATGTAATCTATTATTAATTACTTTGTATTTGCGACTGAATGAATGGGGTTTAGACCTGAAGTTTATGGTAGTAATTTTGATTATGCTAAGCTTATTTTTAATTGTATGTTATTGTTGTCTGTTAGGTTGTACAATTTTATTGAATGGTTCTGTTATGTATAATATATGTATGTTCTAGATCTAGGTACCCATAATATTTAACCTATTTTCAAAGTTCTCATAATATTTGTAAATTTAAAGTTTCAAAATATGTAATTTTAAATAACAAATTAAAGAACATCTAAAAATAAAAATAAAAGACTCACATTACATAAACAGTAAACAGAAATAAGAAATAAAACCTAAATTTCACCCACATTATTTAATTATGTAGGTGCTTAAAAAAAGGCTTTTTTCTTGAGACTATATGAAAGACTAACGTTTTATTATAACATGTTTCAACTAACATTTTTGACAAGGAAAACAATTGGAATATAAGATGTAACATCTTGGCATTGTACTTATTAATTTTAAATTGTCATTGTATTTTCAAAACATTTTAAATATTATAATATAATTTAGTATTTTTACTATTATTCAACTAAACATTAATTATAAATAAGTTTATAATATTTATATCATACAGCTACAAATTAAATAAATATGTATAATTTAAGATCACATACTTATAAAAATATTTTATTTAGGAACAATTTTATATAATAATTTGTTATCATATATATCTATAAAAACTATTATTTACAGATTAGTACATTATAATATAACACTGCACTGAATAGTTACACCAGTAAGTTGTCAGGAACTATTATAATTTCTACACAAAATAGTGATATACCTACCTATTATTTATTATAARCGTTAATGATTTTAATCAATGATCATTTAAGTATAAAAGTATAGATTATATTATTAATTGTAAAATTTAAATTTGTTCATAACCATAACGAGAGTAAAAATATTCAAAAGGTATCTTTTGAACAGAAGTTACTAGTTAGCCATTAGATAGTTATTCATTTTTATTGCTTTATCCAGAATTTAAAAATTTCAAGGAACATCAACCAATTATATTTAAAATATAAAAAATATAATACATTAATATTGCATGGCTTAATTAAAAAATATCACTATTCTCTTCWATGTTGTATGTGACTATTTTAAAAAGTCTAAATATTATAAAGCTTTATGGAATATGAATATTAAACATAAAATATAAGTATAATTAAGCAGTACTAATTTATCAGCTGATGCTTTTGTAAATGAATTATTTTTTTTAGATGTATCTAATATTACAGTAGTGTTAGTAATTTTGTTGGTGTATTTATGTTTATCTAATTGCGTCAAATCGTCAAATAACCCRCTTCCATCTTCTGCTGATTGGTCTAAATCTTCATCATCTGATGGAATTGGAACTGGAGTTAAAATGGTTGCGTTGTTACATAAAGTATTAGCACAAAAACAATACTTCACATTATTTGCTATTTTACAATCAGTAATGGGATACTCATTGCAAGATTTCAGTATACTTTTACCTTTAAAAAAAAAACATAACAATTAAAATTAATGAATAATAATTAATGACATTAAATTAATTGTATTACCATAAGTTTTAGTTAGACATCCTTTATATCTTTCTGGACATTTTAATGTAAAATTKACTGCAGCTTTTGAGCCACAAGTTGGTATCGATTCAATGTCGTAATTTGAAAAAGTAATAGAGATTTCTGAAGCTTCTGTGTTATCAGACATTGGATTTGGTGAACACACATAACATGTTATATCTTTTTTGACGGATGATGAATAAGTTAAACCTATAACTAAATTGTATCAAATTATTAATACATAAATAAAACTTATGAATTATGTGAGTCCTATAAATTAGGATTTAGGTCAAAGTAATGGAATAATTAGTACTCATTGTAATAATATATATATTTGCTGAATCTGAACAAATTATGAATGCCTAGTTAACTGTCTTTTTTCTTTTAGATACTGTATTTTTTTAAATTTAATCATATATTCATATGTACATTTTGAAATAATGGATAAAAAAACATTTAAATTTAATTATATTTTAAAATATAATCGGAATTTTAAAAAGATCATATTTTGATTTATTTATAAAAATTAAAAAAATTGATTATATTAGAGATTGGTGTTTTTGACAATTTTTTTATAATGCTGTAAAATAGACTTTACTAGTTTTATTTTAYCTTTGGTCAAATTTAAATGAATAAAAAAATTTACTGTGACTTTACTACCCTGTCATATATTATGCATTTGGACGCGCATGGATGCATGGTGGCAAGGAGGTGCACGGATCGTTAGACTACATGATTTACTTGCATAGAATTCGTATAAATTGTTTTTTATTACAAAAGATATTGTTGACAACGGCTAGTGAATGAAAAACACATTCGTTATTTTTTCTCTAGATTTTAAAACACGATATGTAGTCACGAAAAGGCTGACTCATTGAACTCGTATTTTAACGGACCGAGGGAGTCATGTTATGGCCAATTGGCTTAATGACTTGGCATTTAGGTAGCCAACTACAATTATAAAAATGAAAACTGTATACTCGTAATATTATAGTGTGTAATATTCGTTTAAAAGTTTAAACAAAGTGTAAAGGGATATCACRAAAATATTTATCTTTTCTTTAATAAGTTATATTTTTTATTCTGAATTGAAAAATAAAGCGGTATTCTGTAAGTATGTAATTATAAGTTATAAGTATTTAAAGTATTGTGATTTAAATGTTAATAACTTTTTATCGTTATTATCGATCTTTAAAGAAACTTCAATAATTCAATAATTCAATAATTTCGCAAATGCAAATGCGGATTAAAAACCTATAACACACTATAATTTATTTCATATTCTCAATATCGCATTAACTATTAAAAATATCCCTTTATTTATTTTAATTTGGTTTTTGTTTAATTTATCAACATTTCTAGTATAAAAAGTTAAAAATATTGGAATAACTAGATTTACGATGTTCCTATATCCCACGCAAATGAATTCGTTTTTATAAATACCGGACAAGACAGTCGATAAATAAAATTCCGTAAGCATGAATGATGAAATTAAATAAATACATATACCTTCCATCGTCCATCGAAAACTGAGTTCTGCGGGTGATTCGTAAGCGTTAAAAAAACATTTTATAGTTCAAAATGTTTATTTGGAATTCAATGTGTAAATGTGTTGCTCATTCACACGTTATAATAACATTAATAATAACCCCTTATTATTTTCTCCCACAAGAATTTTAAATGATCATTGTTATGTTTATTCATGTACGAAATGTCAAACTATCAAAAATTTAACTGGTCATTTGTATTGCATTCATAACATTGTTTTAACACAGTTATGTAGTTATACAAATTACAAATATACAATTAGTATTCAATTATTATATGAATAGGTACTTTCTAATTAGTAAAGTTAAATTAATTTTTAAAACAATCTAATCTATAATCTATATTTATTTTACTTTTAATAGCAGTATGAATTATAAATAGTAAATACTAATCTTATAATAAGAAATCCTTTTTTTTTAATTTGAGCAATACCTATATCTATATCAAATTTGTACGTGCGATTAGTCGACACAGACGTATTTATTTTTCTTCATTATTTATAGATTATTTTAGTGACATTTGATACAATAAAAGATTATAAAATAATATTTGCATAATGTAAATATTTATGCTTATTCCCTAAATATATTATTTGATGTTAACTCATAATTCATAATGTTTAGTTTAGGTATTAGATGTAATATTATTTTCTGAAAATTGTTTTGTTATGTACTAAATGAAACCAAAACTTAGGATTTAACTTTTAAAACTTTTCTTAAACGATTGTTTCTTTTAGACGAAACTTTTGACTGTTTATTTTTTGACGTAATATTAAACTAGATGACAATCTTCAATCTTCCAGACTTCGGTCTCCAGCTAAATATTTTAAAAGTTTATGACCAATGTTTATACAACTTCTATATATATTTATTCATATGTGCAATATAATAAAAACTAGCTTTCGATAACTTCACGATAAAATAGAAATGGCAGTACAAACACTGTCAATTCAATTTTTTATAAAAACGTTCCTGTCATGATTTAGCTTGATTTATTTTTTGTATCATTTTATGACATGTCGCGTACATTGTAGTATTGTACTACCTGAAAACATTTTGAATAATATATTAGTTTTTCACACATTTGTCAAATCGTGTGGAACGAAATTAAATTTAAAATGTACTATCCTTTGTTCCTTACCTACTTAAAATTAATTATCTTTTTTGTGAGACAGCGTATTGAATTAAACATTTTTTTTTAAACTTATCTTTAACAATTGGTTGATTTAAAATCTAAAAATTGTTTCATTATATATATAGTATATGACAAATATCGCAATTCTAATCTTAAAGTATTGTATTATGTGTCTTATATAATACAATTTTCTTATAAAGAATGTTATTATGTAGGACTCGTAGAAAAATAATATCGATGATATTATTATGTTTATAATATTTTAGAGAAAATATAATTTTTAATAATAATTTGGTAACTACTCAATATGTAATACCTACCTACAACTCTACTCGCCACTATTTTATCTGCTTTTTCTAACACTCAATTATTAGAATATGATTTGTATTATATTATAGTTATGTAATGAAATTAGAATGACCTTTAACATATTCATAAAATAATTAGTCTTTTTGTATTTAAAGCTTAAACGTGCGTAAAACTGAATTTATGTTTTATTTTATTGATTATTTCAAACCTTATCTAACAAAGTTAAAACAACTTAACAGTTGTAGTCTCAGTAGTTAGTATTTATAATTTTAATCAATAATTTTGTTTATTTTGATTTTCTACTATGGTACTTACTTAATATCATAAATACTTGACTAATTCTAAAATTAAAAATACACTATATTTTTTACTTTATAGTACAAGTAATACAAATAATTTATAATACAAGTATTTAGTATATATATTATGACTAATATATTTGTAAATTAATTCGTTTCATATTTCCCAAAATATAATATGTTAAATTAAAATTACTGAAAAATGGATACACATATTGTCATGATTATTTATTTATCAGAGAATTTTCTCTACCAAGATTTATTTTATGTACTAATATTTGAAAACGACTGTATGAACTACATATTCAAACGAACCGCGTCATTAACCCCGACAATTAACTATTTATGTAAATTCCTATAATTACATAATAATATTGTAAATGCAATTAATATGTTCTAGCTGGTTCAACAATTTTAGAGCCTATAAATATTTTTAATCAAAATTTTTACTTCAATGGAAATAATATAAAGTAAACTAATTCTTTTTTGCCGTTCTTAATTTTGATAATTTATTTATTGGATTTGGCTATCAGCTTGTCTCGTGTTATTTCATAATTTATTTTATAAGTATGAAYGGCAGTGATCAATAGGTAAGTATGTTCGCAGAATTATTAAATGCAAACAATTTATGTATAACGTATTTTAGTTTCCATTTATTAATAAGTGCGATGATTTATATACACTATATTGAGCTCATTAAAACACATGTAATCAAATTTGAGTGTCAAAAATTCAGAGCCAGTAATAAATATATAAGTATAATATTATATATAATATTATTAATTAGTATTTAAATCGTTTTTAGTATAACTTACTGATTACTAAAAACCAAACCGTTGTGGTTTTCGTCCATCGTAGAAATCCGACAGACATTTTGTTTTTAAATATTTTGAAACAACAAAAAGTTGATACGTATTCAGTGGGCATAGAGAAACAAATTCATACAAATTATTAGACTAAAGTCGATTTWGACCGCAAAACTAAAATTAAATCTTAAAAAAACTGCCCGTTAGGGKTCCTTAATATAATTGATTTTCGTTTCGTGTAATCGAGTAATCTGTATCCATAAAAAAAATTTTATATTAGTATATTATCCTATATATCGTTACCGAAAAAAATATACAACAATACCGAACATAGTCACGCGGTTCACACTGTTTAGGACACAATGCTAGAGAACGTCTCTGGCTGCCTCGCGCTCCCTCTCGTCGTTTCCTATATAATAATATTATTATACGTCCACAACTGACCGTGGAGGCACACCATCTCGCGGGGTCGGCGCATATTATACCATTACACAAACGATCAATTAAAAAAAAAGGACAGGAAAAATGTAAACTTTACCGGAGCCTAAAGCCCTAAAGGACTGCATTTATCATTCGTATTTCTTGTGTGCATATAATATATATATATATATATATATGTGTGTGTGTGTGTGTGTGTATACATTGCTAAATATTAAATGGTTCGCCATAAATTATTTTGTTCTTCCTATACAAGGGGAACAAAATAAGTAATGAGATAATTTTTAAAAGCTCTGAAGACATGCGTGAAAGACTGCACTATGCGAATATAATAGTATATTATTGTTTGTATTATAGTCCGTTATATAAGTGCTGCAGTTAAATCAATCGATCGAGTAATGTTGTATATTATTCGTTTATAATAATATATTAACTAGTAACTATACCCAGCAATAGTCATTTAAACTAAACATCTACTGTCGTCTACTGTCTTCAGTCATCGATGGTTCGATGCATGTTCTTAGTAAAATTAAAAAAAAAATCCTATGCTTAACTATACAAAATTATAATCGGTAAAACTAAAAAAATATGATAGTTACAAGTCATATACATGCACGGTCATCGACCACCTGAGGGTGTAATTACTTAGAAGCTGATACTAAAATAGTAATTTGGTAATAATAATATTTGTTTTACTTTTTAGGTATTGTTTATTTATTACTGTAGAAGAGTTGGTTAATATATTTTAGGTTCTGAGCGATAATGATGTGCGAGTGGTATTTAGTCAATGGATTAATTTAAAATACTTAGTTAGTAAATAATTGTTGAAAAACAGAGAAATCTTAAACTTAAAGTTAATTACCTACTCATAGATACTATTGGATCTTTGAGTGGTATTAAACAATAATTTTAAATTTTTTCATTATTCCGTTTTATTTACTTTCAAAGTTTATAAGTAAATGAAAAAAAATGGTAAAATCATTTTTATTTTTATGGCCTATAATTATTTCCTAGTTAAAAATAGTAAATACCGTACAAGATATATTGCAGCATATATAAGGGTAGGCAGACAGTAGTGGTCACATTATATATTGATTAACTTATTGCAGTATAATGTGAGTTGTGTTTAAATTTTGAAAGCAATAAGCAATGATAAATCAACGGAGGTCTGTAAAAGGTTTAAAATCACGTTCCTTTAATATTTTTATTGGGCATGTATTGTATTGTTGTAGATTTTAGGTAAAACACTTAAACAACTTATTCCTATTAAAAAAAATTAGATGCTTAGAAAATCGTGAAATACACAATATAACAAAACTTGATATCTAATTGAAAAAAAAACTTGTAATATGAATTCGCGTAACTACATGTTAAATAGTCTCATAAATCTTATTTTTAAATCCTAGGTATCTAGTAAAAAATTGACCATTAAAATATGTTAAATACATTAGTAATACTAGTTCATATTATTAACGTTATATATTGTATTATATCTTAAAATGCRTAATTTACATTCTAAAATTATATGATTTAGTTAAACTTGTATAATTTGAAATTGTATAAGTAAATAAATAAATGAAAACGTTTTTAGCAATAATTCTCTGTCCAAAAAATTGTCTAAATATCATAACRTCATTTTAAATCCAATGCATAATTTTTGTGTGTCATTCAGAATTGTACACAACAATCATGAGGTAGTGTTAATCACGTTAGAATATAATATAACTTATGTATTGTTTGTGCATTAATGGTAAAGGTAGATACCAGTGTGCCAGTAAGGGGAAGAGGTTATCAATGTTCTGTTTTGCTTCATACAGAGTGCCTCACGAAGACATAACATACCCATATATATATATTTTTTAAAGAAGTTCCAAAGAAAAATTGTCATAACTTCCTGATACACCCTAATTTTTATTTATATATTCACATATACATAGTCGTATTATATTATGAAAACCATTAGCCATTAATTATTAATTTTTGTATTCATAGAGAATTGTTGTAAGTTACCCTTTTCCATTGCATATTTACGTCTATCGCATGTCATTGTTAAAACTTGGAATTTTGGTTTCATTCTACGAACGAGACGTGTGTATTTTATATGTTATAATCTCGTTTATTATAAATTTATAACTAATTCATAAGTATTGATTGTTATAAATTATATACATGTAGTAAAACATGTAGTAATACATGTACATTTTATATTGAACTTGTCGCCTTGACACGTCATAACCGCAAGACGACAACGCATATTTATTTATAATAATATTACGCTTATATTTACGGGCAACAATTTTTTAGTATTATGATTAAGTTATTGGTATGGCTGAATTTACATATAAATAATAAATATAAAATATATTTACCATGACTACTCACCCTCGATCATTCCTTTAGTCATTAATTAAATCCTGATTTTGGGAATTTTCGGAAATATATTGGTATTTACATTTTATACCGTATTGTCAAATACTTAGATTTTTTCTAAACTATTTGAGGATTTGGGTTACATTGTCCTGTGGTGATACAAATAATCTTAAATTATGTAGCAGATAATTTTTATGGAAATATTTCGAACGAAAAATGTCCGGGTTATTAAACTGTGTTTTGGATCTAAAGATAATTATGGTTCATATAAATAATTATGGCTCAAAATAAGTTCATTATGGTTAGGCTTGAGTTAAGATATAGATAACATTAGGGACTAAGCAAATTTTAAAATTATAAAGCCTAATACCTAAGCTATTAATATTTAAACATTTTTGATTTGTAAAAATTGTCAGAGCAAGTACTATAAAATCAACTTACTTTACTACTATGATATGTACTTTATGTGATCCATTATTAAGGATAATTTTATATATCATATAATTAAATATAATAATATATATATATAAAATATAATCAAATCATGCATCAACATTWTCCAGAACATCGTGTGGTTAACTTTTGTTAAGCCCTAAATGATATATGAAAACAGAGAAACAAAATAAAGGTATTTAAAAATGTAGTTTGTAAATGTATGCTTAAAAATTCTTAGAATCAGAATCTGAATAAATACGTTGTTAAAGTATAAAAGAGGGTTGAATATTTTTGTTGAATCATTCTGTATTATATTATATATTATACACACACGTCCTGTGCATTTGCTATGGTCATCGCCCATCGGACCACTCGTAATATACCATTTTCGTTTTTACACATAACGACGGTGATATATTTTTATATATAATATGTACAATATTCGGCCAAGATTTAAATCTATCTGAATGCATTAACCGAAAAGTTGTGATGACGTTATTTGGTGTGTCGTGTTAAACGATTTCCACTGTAACTTGAACGCTTAAATTCAGATTAAAAAAAAAAAAAACACAGCGCACGACCGTTTATAGCCGGGCCCGAAGCAGTATGTTTATGTAGATAGATAGATTATGTCATGGCCTTGCGTACCTAATTATTAAAATAATTTTTATCTGTTTATGTATTTTATATCATTATTATTAGGGAGCTGAAAAGTAGACACCACTCTTCAACACGTCTTTGTGCGTTTGTCTTATGGTCACAATAAGCATTGGTGTGTTTACGTCGTATATTCCCATAGTTCACTCTCTATTTTATTTATTTTAGAGTATAATCACAACTAACTTCCCTATTTTCATTTTTAGTATGTGTAATATTCACTAAATTTATAATGATATGACGGAGATTTACAGCCTAATACATTTTCAGCAACGTAAACAAAAATAAATATTACAATAGTTTGCAATTTTCAATTCTTAAATGGTACCTATATACATATACCTAACCTAACCTATATCAGATGATTATCAAAAAAACATTTTGAAAATCAAATAGGTACCAAACCATTAAAAATAATGGGTACCAGATACTTTGTATGTCTACGTGTGTATCATATTATTCTTAATTAATGTTTATGCTTATTATTTAAGTACGAACTTCTTGTTTGCATAATATTAGCCAATAAGAAAATATTTTTTTATTTAATCATAAAGGTTTTTACCATTTTCGTCTACATACGTGAAAAATGTATAAATTATTTACCCACACAATTTTTAACAATATGCCTTAATAATATGATAATATTACCTAAGTACTTAAGCGCATTTACTGTTTATTGAAATAAATTTTAAATAATTTAAACGCCGTATATAATAAATTATTTATTAGGTAATACATATTATACATTAATTTAAACTGGTCATATACTAAGAGTATAAATTCTTATAAAATAAGATTAAAAAAATTGTTTCGAGCATTCGCTGTCCAATTTTATTTAGCTTATTGTTAACATAGCTAGGTAGGTATATCAAAATAATTAAACGGTCTTCTATTTTATAGCGATAGAATAACTTTMCCCCTATATTATGTTGCCATATAGTCTATGACCATTGACCATGATGTATAAATTATTTWWAAAAAAAAATTTCTTCTTAGTATTGGTTTATTAATAATTATCAATCATGAATATTGTAGTAATTTACTTTAGGAAATTTAATATTTATTACTTCCACATCTCCAAAAATAAATCGGTATATTTATAATACTATGATCAGTATAAATTATTTTTAATACGGTAGTACAAGTTGTATTGGGTGATAGGGTACTGAATCATTTGCATGTATTTTTTAAAGGCAAAAAATGTTGTACTTAAAACTTTATTTTTTGACACGAAAATGTAAAAGCATTTAAAAACAATGTATCGTTTATACAGAGGTCCGGGAGCATGGTGTTGGTTATTATTCATTTTCAACGGATGAAAAAGAACGTCATCGCCAACAAGCTGAGCTCAAAAAGCTTCGAGAACAGACTAAAACCACTCAAATTTCCGTACAAAAGCTCAAGGAAAAGCGTGCCGCACAGATGGCTGTCCGACTTAAAGCCATCAAGCGACGTAAAAAAGAAAAACTCGGGCTTCCGCTGGACTCCAGTTCGGGTAAGTTTGTGCCCATCACTTTATTGTAACTGAATAATATAACTTCGATTTTTGTTTTTAATTTTTAGACGAAGAAGCGCCACCACCAAAGGCTCCGTCCCCGGAAGTCGTCGAAGATATGGACGCCGAACGAGCATTTGAAAAGTTGAGGAAAGCCGCTCATGTCAGACCTTGGGACCAAGGAAAGGACGGACTACAAAAAYCTTGTATGCTAGATTTATTTTTTAATACATTTTTTGTAATTATAATTATGCGATCTTTATTATTATTATGACGCGTTTATTACAGCTGTGACGTATTATGTTTATATTCTGTATGTTATTATCATTTATTGTTTTAGTGTTGACCCAAGAAGAATGGAACGAAAAGCAACGTGCCGAAAGGAAGCCAGATTTTGCGTGGGATTATGACGACGGCCCAAAARTGCCCAAAAAAGTATCGTCCAATAACTATCAACACGTCGACAAAGACGAGGACGWTGATGATGACGACGACACTGACGAAGATTTGGTTGGACCATCGTTGGATATGTTTGTTGCACCCACTAATCCAAACAAGCAGAGTACAATAACATCGAAAAGTTTTAAAAAGTTTATTCACAATGAGTTGGATGATGAACCTGGGACCACTGACAAWCCATATCATGAAGATAATAGCGATTTAGATAGTATTCCGCTACCAACTGAACCGAGGAAAGGAGCAGAAATCGCACCACCTCCCACATACGAATATTATGGACCAAGTGGGCGAGGACCAAAAGCACAAGACAACTTWATTAGTGTWAATGAAATGCAGGATTCTATTTCTAAAGGATTTACCAACTCAAAAAGCATGAATAAACCTCGAACAGTCAGAGGTATTGTGGACGACGACGACGATGATTGATAATGTTTAAATAAATAGCTTTCAAGGTGATACTATAATTGTTACTCTATTAAAAAACATTACCTACATTATTACAATGAGTGATTTGTTGTTTATATTTAATTATTTTGTGTTATGATGATTATAAAAAATGTTTTAAAAACCATTTACTTGTAATATATTCAATCTCATCATAAAGTATTATTAAAAAACAATACATAATGTTTGTATAGTTATTCAGATTTCTCAATTATTATGAATGAAAAACAAAATATCAATAATTAATCACAATGCCGTGTAATTCAATAAGTTTACACGCTATTTTTTAAAGAAATAACAATTATATAAGTATTTTTAAACAGTATTATTTAGTTAAATTAATTAAAACTGGAATAAAAACTTAAATAAAAAAATAAAATAGGAAATATTTAATATATAACGCATTAAATAATCTCACTCAATAATCATGCAAAAAAAAAAAAAAAAAAAAAAAGGTTTTTTTTTGCTTTGTGATAGACTTTTAATAGCCTTCTCTGTTTCACTATCAGAAAATTTCAAAACTGCTGCTATTGCATTTACCATATGTTTTCGAATTTTATCATCAGCTGTAAGAAAATAACTCAATGTCACATTTTTCAGATATTCTAAATTAGCACCTTCTCTAGATTTACAAGATTCAAGTCTGAAAAAAAAAATTTTCTATTGTTTTTGTAAGAATATTAAATAAATAAAATTAATACCTTATTAACTGTTGGTTTAGTTTATCAACATCTGCTTTATACTGCTGCTGCATATCAGCTGTACTTTTTTGTAAGTCTCTATACTTGGATTCTATTTTAGACTTGGACTTTCTAAATTTGGATATCTCCATATCTTTCAGGGCTAATTCGTGCGCATAATGAAGCAGATGCGATCCTTTTTTGTTAGATTCTTCATCCAAATATTCCTGGAACTATATACATACAAAAAAAAAACACACAATTATAAWTTTGAATATGCAAAAGATTACTTACCTCTTTTCTTGAACCAGTTGAGGAATGGGATGTTTTTCTATTATATTTTGTAGAATGTAGAGTTTCACGTAGGGTATTTAGCTCCAGTTCTTTTTCTAACACAAGTTCTTGTGCTTTATCACGTTGTCTTAATAATTGCTGTTCTAGAATTGATGTTCGTTTACGCCATTCCAAATCATTTGTCATRTATTTTTCTTTCCAACTATTATTTTCCTATAAGAAATAAATTGATAACATACTTGTTAATGATTTTGTTAAATATAACAACAATACAAATCGATGTACTTCATTATCTTCTTCTAATTTTTCTTTGTACTTGCGTTCCAGCTGATCTCGTTCAAATTGTAGTGTATTAACTTGTTGTTTTAGACTTTTTACTTGATTTAATAAAACTGAATTATCTTGCTTGGAAGACGAATTATTTTCATCTTGTTGATCTGAATATTCAATGTGTTTCATTTTATAATTGTAAATATCAAGATCAAAATCTTTTAATATTATATCTACAAAACAAATTTATAATTGTTAAAAAAAATTTTAAATTTTGATTAAAATAAATTGATTTATTATAATATATTTTATTTACCTTCAATATTTAAAGGGACTTCTGATGTCTTGGCTAAATTTAATAAAAGAGTTTTAAAGTGTTTAAATTTTTCAACTATTTCAGATACAGTGTACTCTTCATCATTTTCATTTTCTATTTCTAATTTTTGTATTTGTTCCTATTAAGAAAACAATTCAAATATAATTAGTATACAGTATAATCTATTTAACAAATCTATACTTTTATTGTGATGGTGTGGGATTTAATGTTTATAAATTATAAGTAATGAATAACTCTACAGGTGTTCAATTTAAATAGTAATTATCTTTACAACTTAAATTTTTTAATAAATAATATAATGTTACTATATATTCTTAACATAAGATTATCAATAAAAYCCTATTAATAAATTTAATTGTTTGCAAAACTGTAATTTACAAATATTATTTATTTTTAGGCACTATTTAGTGGTATTCTGCCCAACTGGATAATATGATGATAGTAAAATTTATCTTTTATATACTTTAAATAATTAAATATACWTTAAAAATAATCTAATCAAAAAATTAGAGTAAAACAATTAATTTGTCACCTATATAAAGTACATAATGACAATCCAGTTTRCAAACCAAAAAATAAATAAAATTGTGTTAGGTTTGTGATACATATAAAAAGTTAAGTATGTTRTTTATTGTATGAAATTGATAGCCAATAGTTACCAAAAAAATCCATTAGCTATAATCTCTCACGAAAGAAAGTATCACATCTTAATGAAGTTCGGTTTTTCTTGTGGAGCTCAGTCTCATTCACAAAACAGTACTATTCTCTCATGGGACAGACTAATAGACTGTAGACATTAATTTAATATTAATATTGCATAATATTACATTATGTTTKATGCTGTACACATTTTAGGCATAAATAAAAATTTACATAAGCTGCTTATTAGGTATACGCRGATAATTGATACAATCACAATATTGAAACAAATTGCCTCGGGACAGACGGCCTTATATACCATATAAACGCATGTATAAACCAATTGCTTATTAGAAACAATCTGTTAACTGACAAATCAACAACAGCTTCTACTGTATTGCCAAAACTAGATGCATATGTATTAATATTTAATAATCTAAATAACACATTTTGAATTTGAAAAACAAAGTTTTCAAGAAGAAACATTAGTTTAATATTATTATTATTACTATATTAATACATTTGCATTGTTTCATAATAGTTAAGTAATGAGATCTGAATAAAATAGACAATGATACRCTCAACAAACTACTTATAGTTTATTCACTTCACCTATACATGCTAATTAATATTGATAATATACTTTTTGTGTATTTAAAATCTTGGGTTATTAACTGGACAATCACATGCACAACGTTAAGATAAATAAAAATATAACAAAACCTTTAATGATTGTATTGTCAGTTCATCTTGATGTCTAATTTTATCATAAACACCAATTGAATTTGAAAGTTCTGTCAAACGTGTTTCTAAATTTGAAACTCTCACTTCATGTGCAATTGCAAGTTCTCTGGCTCGATTTTCTGCATCTGTTGCTCTTTGTTGTTCCTGTAGAAGAAAAAATAAGTACTCACTACAATCAAATATTRATTAAATATTTTTAAAGCTTYATTTGTTACTTGAGAAATGGCAATCGAATGGTTCTGTCTCACTGCTTTAACTTCATGTCGTAACTGAGATAACATATTTGATGTTTCATCTTCCCTATACTTTAGTTTATGTTTAATTTCTTTCAGTTCATTCTCCATATCTTGGGCTACTTTTTTTAAGTTTTCATTTTCTCTGTGCAAATGTACAACTTCTTTTTGTAAGCCATCTGCTAACGATTCAGATTGTTCCTTTTGCCTACGTTCTTCAGCCATTAACTTTTGTAATTCTCTCATCATAACTCCGTGGTCATTAAATTCTTTTTCTCGTTGTAATCGCTCTTTATTAAACTTTGCTTTAATATTTTCCATCTCTAATCTTTGAAGTTTTTTTAGTGTATCCATTTTATTATTCAACTCTTTGTTCGATTTTTCAAGCTATAATAAAATTTAAAGCCATTGCTTTGATAATTACATACAATAATACTAATTATCAAATATACCTCATATATTTTATTTTGAAGGTGTTGTTTTTCATCAGCTGCAATTTCTTCAGCTTCATTTTTTTCTCG